CTATCTATCTATCTATCTATCTATCTAACTATCCATCATCTATCACCTATCTATCCATGTATCTATCTACACATATCTATCAGTCTATCTGTACATACTTATTTAACTACATATAGAAATCTATCATCTAGCAGTTCATCTATTATTTATCTACCTATTATATATCTACCTCTCTATCTATAATCTATAATTATCTGTCTATATCTATCTATGATATATTTTCTAAACCTATCTCTAGCTATTATTTATTTATCGATCCATCTATGCCTCTATCTATTTCTTTGTTGGTCCAGGTGGTTAACTTATGAGGATAACATTGCAACCTAAACTGAGCAGTGATGGTTTGGGGTGGCATTAATATGTGTTAATGAGCTGATCCATTATGCACTAACTTTAGACGTTTTAAGAATCAATTGAAAGAGCCGAGAGAGAGAGAGAGAGAGAGAGAGAGAGAGAGAGAGAGGACGATGATCCAAAAGACAGCACTTACACTGCTGTCTTTCAGTAGTAGAAACTCAACAGCATCATGATTCATATCTAATGAGCAAATTTTCTATGTTACCAAATACAAATAATATTGAAAAGATAAATGAGAACAGAAGTTAGATAATGCCCTCCCAAATGTCTTAAATACAATGCTTTTCAATGTGAAATTTAAAACCATGAGAAGATTTGATGTTCAGGTAGTTATTGTAATTGTTCCTTTATAGAAATAGAACCACTGGGGATCTGGGGACAAGAGAAATGATCACCTGGAGACAATCATTAGCCTCGTGGGTCCAATGAGAGTCATAATCATTCCCAGGAGTGAAAGAACGAAAATGACTCTGTGTTTGCTCAGTGATGTGTGAATGTTCCCCCAAACCATCCCCAGTTGAGAAAGCAGGCAATGTGAACTTGTCAACAATTTCTCTGTACATTCTTAGAGTAAGACAGAAAGAAGATGAGCAAGTCAACATCCAATCCACTCCACAGTCTTCTGAATCCAGTGAGCTCAGGTCATTACTACATCACTGTGGGTCCCTTACACACAGTTTCAACATCACTGCATTGACACCACATGTGTACACTTCTACAAAGCCACAGACTTCTCCAAACATACTAAACCACAGTAAAGCTGAATATTCAGGTTTTCACATTTTTGGGATTCTATTTTTATTTCAAGAAGGACACATTAATTAATGTCATGTTTTAAGCATTAGTGTGTCCATCAGCAAGGACAAGCCCTCTCAAAGTACTGTTGAAAAAAAAAAAGCTAGGAAACTGGTCATTTAGAAAATCTAAGAATATTCTTCCATTTATTATCAGACTTCCTAGAAATACTGAACTTTTTGTCTTCCTGATAGAACAGAAAACCGGATAGCATAGTGGATAAAGTGCTTGCCAAGAAATCATAAGGATCTGAGCTTGGATCCCAGAACCACATTAAAAACTGAATGCTGTAACATGAGCATCTATATGCCCATGGGCCTATAGCAAGGTAGAGGGTGCAGGCAAGAGATAACTCAGAACCTCACAGGCCAGGTAGCCTCAGGTATGCAGCCACAAATAGCAAGAGAGACTCTGCCTCAAACAAGGTGGAAGGCAAGGATGGACACCTGAAGATGCCCTCTGACTTCCACATGTGCATTAAGGCAGGCACAGGCCTGAACTCACACACTGAAATACAGACACACACACACACACACACACACACACACACACACACACCACCCATCATATACACATGCACATCATAATTTTATTGAAAGGCATGAATTATAGCTGGCTGTGGTGGCACACATTTTGAATCCCAGTACCTGGGAGGCAGAGGCAGTGAGTTCAAGGCCAGCCTGGTGTACATAGCAAGTTCCAGGCCAGCTGGAGCTACTGGGAGATGCTGTCTCAAAAAGACCAAAAAGAAAAGACACAAGTTATAGAATATTTCAAGTATATCAACAAAGACGCTATGACCATAATTGCAAGTAGGCAGCATATGCCCAATTTGATCTCACTTGCCATGACATCAGCACCATATCGTAGGGGAACATTTTACTATTATACCTTCCCAAATACCCATATCTTATGAAGTTTTCTCACATCTCACATCAAATAGACATAGCAAAGATTTAGCATCTTTGGTTAGCATCTGAAGCTTTTATTAAACTCCATTTGACTTCTAAAACAATGCATAAATAAAATATTGATGTTGATCACTATTGCATATTTAATTCTATCCTACTGAGTTCTGTCTCCAGGAGTTTCATAACTGAACAGAGGTGTTGGTTTTCTTGCTCTCATGAGATACAAGAGAGTAAGAAATTCATAAGCAAATCTCTGCTATTCACCATTTTTCCATTGGGTGTAGCTATGATATTAGATAGACGCCCACAGCAGTCCGTGTACACAAGAAGGATGCTGAGGCACTGAGAGAGCTGAGGGGACTCTCTTTGTCTTTAGCATTAAATTGTTTCCGTCAGCTGTATATTCTCGAAGGAAAAGCAAACAAAATACTTTTAAATCTATCAGGTCAAGAAGGATTTCAATGTGTCTTATTTTTTAAGGAAGAAACCCATAAAGTTAAGATCTGTGTTCAAAATTTAATTAATAACTCTATTTGCATATTGTCTTCTTGCTTAAATTTTTACATACCCATATTATCACACTTAGTCTGGCATCTTTTATGGATGCAGGCATCTGTTGGGTAAATGAGAATAAATAAAAAGAAAATGTAGGGGCAGCGGAGGTGGCACAGTTGGCAAAGTGCTTGCCACAAAAGCATGAGGACATGAGTTCAGATCCCCACCCCCCCCTACAAAAGGTCAGGCATGGTGTTGTGTGCTTGTAATCCTAACTCTAGGGAAAGGGTTGGGGCAGGAAGATCCCTGGAGCTCATAGGCTATCCATTCTAGCCAAGTTGCTGAACTCTAGATTCATCAAGAGAGTCCATCAAAAAAAAATAAGGTAAAGAGCAATAGAGAAAGATACCTGAGGTCCACCTCTGGCCACCACGTGCACACACACACACACCACACACACACACACACACACAAATAATAAGAGGAAATTCGAAACAGCACAACTCCTCTATTCAAAAGACAGGTTTGAGCAGAATGTCTTAAAATGTCTATTTATGCTAAAAGGGGGAAAAAAAGCAGAGTTTTCTCCTAAAATGCAAGGGCAGCTTACATACTGTGATGAAAACTGTTAACTTCTTTCTTAACAACACCATATGTCTCCAATTTGATCAGAATACAGTCAGCTCCTAGGGGATGTTCTAGGTGGAAGCTAACCAAATCAAGGCACAGCCTTTGCTGTAAGCACACTCCTTAGCTACTGATCAGAAACATTGCGTTTTCCTCATCATTGAAGTGTCCTTAGAAAGGGTCTTCTTCCTGCTTTTTTGACTTTCCCATCTCCCAACCAACCAAGTCATCACAAAACCTTTGACCTCTCCACCAAGAATATTTCTCCTTTTGTTCACACTTTCCTTCTATGTAACTTCAATCTATTTTGAGGAACTGAAAAGCCAAATTTCCAAAATTTCTATTGGGTTTCAATGGCAAATGTAGCATAAACTGTTGAAACCCAGAATATAAAATAATATACCTATGTGTGTGCATTTTCCCCACCAAGTGTCATCATCAAAAGAACCATGGATAAACGAACATTCACTATTTGGACAGCTCTTTGTACAATGTAGTTTTTCTTAGGATAGTGCTTCAGTCTTAATTAGTAATGCATTAATAAGATACTTTTTTTGTTTTGAAACAGTCTCAAGTAGCCTACAGTGTCCTCAAACTCATTTCGTGGCTGAGGATGACCTTGAACTCCTGATCCTCCTGCCTCCACCTCTCAAGTGCTAGGATGACAGATATGTGCCACCATGCCCAGTTCTAATGAAATATATTTTCAGTGTCAGTTACTAACATCAACTACCTTCCTTGCATTCTACAGGCAGATTAAAGCAAGTTAAGGCATTCCTAACTTTGGTAGCCATGATACATTTCATTCTTTCATGCTGAATATAGTTCTGAATAACATAAAGTGATATTTTATAATGTATATAAATCCTTAAGAATCCTGCCTTCAGAAAATACAAAGTGCTATGGGATAGCCTAGATTGGCATCCTTAATAATTTCCCCAATCTGCGACTTGCGTTATTGTGAAATATAAAACTATTCATTCAGATGTCATGACGGCCAAATGGCGATAACATTTCTAAATGCTTACTTTTCTTTCCACATTTTCTTGTCAGAACTGGAAATGAGTGACCCAGGTATGGCATGAGTCTGTAAAATCTACTGTGAATATCACTTGCAGCCACTTAACAAACTGCAGATGAAGGATTCGACATTGATGATGGGAGTCAAAAGCGTCCCTCATCTCAAGAGCATTCTTTATCTGTTTTTCTTCTAATCCACTTCGGGAATTAGGAGTAGAGTTTCAAACAAAGGCCGATGAAGAATCACCAAGAAATTTTTGTGAAGGATGACTTGTTTAAATGTGTTTAAATACACATATTTATGGGCTGGGGAGATGGCACGGTGGGAAAGTGCTTGATGTACAAGCATGGGGACCGGAGTTCAAATCCTCAATAGCCATGGAAAAGCCAGGCATGGCTGTGCATACCCAGCATTGGGAGGTGGAGACATGTGGATCCCTGGAGGTTGCTGGCCATCAAGCATAACCAAAAAGGCAAGTTTCAGGTTCAGTGAGAGACCCTATCTGAAGGGAATGAGGAATAACCAATGTCTTCCTCATGCCTCCTCATGTGATTGTATAGGTATGCATACCTACACACACCCCATACACACGCCACACACATGTGCACATGTGCATACAGTGCACATATCACACTTGGCACACACATAATACAAATAAAAAAGGAAATTATTAATCCACATTTATAACACCAAACCTCCATTTCCAGTGACCAACAATAGGCTTTATTGTGTAAATGGATTTAATGAGAGCCATAAGTTTAAGCCTTTTTTAGTGACTTAATGGTATTTCTTACCTGGGATGCCTGGTGGTGTTTTCAGATATTTTCCATTAAAATGCTGAATCACCACTTCACATTTTTCAGTAGACTCCATTCTGGAAAAAAATAAAAGGTGAACTTCAGATTATAGACTTTTGCCAAATCGTTCTTATGAAAAATAAGCAAGAAAGCAAGAAGCAGAAATAAGAAAGTGATAAAAGGGGTTGACCTGATGAATGTACATGAATTGTCATCTGTTGCCATGGCCACAACAGCCAAGCTGATGGGGGACTTTGCAAGGTCATCATACCGCAAACATCATCCCTCTGTAGCTTCCCGGGTGGTTTCCCAGCTAGCCTGAGACGGTCTCACTTACTGCTTGGCAGTTGAAAGTGTTCAATAGATGTCTACGGAATGAATGAATTAACAACTCTGAAAGGCTGGTCATATCAACGAGGGCATGGTGGCTGGAAGAGATAAACTACCTCTCCAATACAGGGTTGAGTCGTTGAGTCAGATTCTGAATCAATGTCATTAAAGCCTGAGCTATAACAACTTAGCCACACTCCTGAAGACTCCACAAAACAAGTTGAAGAGACGTTTGTTTGAACAGCTTACAACCTGTAGTGATTAGCACAGTGGCGCATGTATCAACAGTGTGGCCCTTTTATCAAAAAGTCAGTGTGTGCAAGATATCCAGAGAGAGTTGTTTGGCATCCTACATGTGCGATAAAAACTCACAAACCTATACTTTTTTTCAGTTTAGAATTTTGGACACTCTTTCTTTTTAATATTAGATAACAATATTCCTGAACTATGTTTTGTGCAAAACCTCAACATCTCAAAGACAGTGTAAGAAGGAATCACTTTGAACCTCCAATCATCATACAGCCTTCAGTGTACCCACATCTCAAGTACATCTGCAAGACTTCTCAAGTGCTGAATCGTATCTGACCTTCATTTGCATAGAGTTTATTCCTTATGTGTGTATTTTCCATGTGTGTATGTGCACATGTGTGTGGGTATCCATAGAGGCCAGACGAGGACGTCCCTTGGACTTGTAGTTACAGGCAATTGTGAGCTGCCCAATGTAGGTGTGGGGTCCTCTGGAAGAGCAGCAAGTGCTTTTGAGCACTGAAGCATCTCTGCAGCCCCATAAATGAAAAATTTTAAAAAGGAAATATGACATTTCATTCATTACTTAATCACAAGTACCCCCAAATCATAAGATTTTAGGATAAGAAAAGCAAGTTATATAATTTTCCTCATTCCAAAAATTTAAGAGCAATAAGTACAATTTTCCAAACTATGTTTTCTTTTATAATGGAAACTTTAACCATATGTTTTCCAATTCCTATAATTTTTTGAAGTAGGAAACTTCCTTTTCTAGGAACAAAAGAATTCTAATTCCATCTTCCTGTCTTCCCACAGGGCCTATGATCTGCTGTCTTTTAGGGAAAATAACTGCCTCCCAGCACAAGCGTGAATGGGAGAGGAAATGGAAGCCCTGAAGTCCCACAGATGCTACATTACAGAATTTTTATTCCAGGAGTTAAAAGATGGAAAGCTTATGCCTTGAGTCCCTCTCTGCTCCAAGTCTCTCTGGGTGCTCACCGAGATCAAAGACAATGGAGACTGAAGCTTGCTTGCAGAAGTCCCACAAATCAAACCCTTTCTCTTTGTGCTGAAATGACATCGAATTCTAAATGAAGATCAAAACTAGCTAAAGGTTAGTAGACACAAGCGCTGTTTTAGGGAACACAGAGCAAGCTAAAAAAGAAACTCGGCGCACCTACGGTATTTTTACTCTGGGTTTGAAAGCCTGGAACCTTCCCGTCTGGATTCTAAACACAATCATCTTAACACTGTTTTACAGCTGTAACAGCCTGATGGGATATCTTTCTAGGAACACAAAGACAGCAGCGTAGATTGCTCACTTTGGGTTCATTCACATCTAACTAAGTGAGTGTCTGCTGTGAGCCATTAGAGACTCTCCTTTGAAAGAATAAATGCAATAAAAGTCTGTTTTCTGTAGCTGCCAGCACTTCGTGTCAATACATGCTATGTTGTACCACCCAGCAGTGACAATTTCATTTGAATACCCAGGGCGAACAGGAGAAACAGTCCCAGCAATGATGGCCTGGGACTCCAGGAGCTGCCAAAGGAGAAAGGCAACGTTCTGGAAACAGAACAAAAGTGAGACCCTAGGTGAATAGCTGTCTTAGCCAGAGCACTCCTATTTTCTTCTCTAGTTTCACAATTAACTGCTCTGTGAAGTCACCAGTTCAAGCTATCTGAAATCTGGCTCACGTCTCCATTGAAACTGACACAAATATTATCAAGTGCCTCTGAAAGACAGCAGCAGACGCAGCACCTTTTTTGCTAAGTCCCTTTCAGACCAGCCGGAATCACTACAGTGCATTTATTCTTCCAGGCAGTATCTGAACCCCCGATGCCCCTCAGAACAGCTCCCATATCAGGCCAACCATTTACCTAACAATGCATTAACTAGGCTCTTACAGGGCTTGTATAAAGCTTCAAGGTTTTCTGTTAGGTGTGTTGTTAAAATATAAATACACATTTCAAGGTCCTGTTTGACTTTCTTGTCTCGTGATTAGCAGTGACTGCCTTCAGTCATTTGAAACATATCAGTGCATTGTATTTCTTCACCTTTTTCTTTTTGAAACAGCAGCTACTAAAGAGGTGCTGATTTCACAGCCAATACAATTTCCACAGGCAAATTACATCAGATGAGAGCCAGATCCAATACTAATAGAATGCTCTGGGTCAGGCTTAACATGCAGAGGAAGAAAAGTCTCCTGGAAAACCATTTTCAGCTTACCTCACTAACTTCAACAGAGAATCTCTCAGTCTATGATCTGAAGGATCCAAGCATCATGAACCATGGATTTAAAAACAAATTCAGTCTGTCACACAGTATGGTTAATTAGAGGTTTCCACTGTTTCGAAATACTTGTGGCTTTGCAATCACAAGTGCTGGATAAATTATTGGTGACTTGGAAAACTCAACTTTGCAAGACAAGCATCCTCATTTTTGGTTAGATTTATGCAAACAGTCAAAGCTATCAGAAGAATTTTAACTACAAAAACATGTACTCTCTCTGGCACTGCAAAAACAAATTGCATCATTTGCATCTTAACTTATTAGAACACAAAAACATAATGATGAGTCTGGAGGATAGGCTTGTTTATGATTTATTTAGTTAGTTATGTGTATGTGTACATGTGTGGGTGTGAATGTGGAGACCAGAGGAGAGACTCAAATATCTATCATTCCTCAAACATCAACTACCTTTTTCCTTTGAGACAGAATCTCTCACTGGCCTGGAACTCACCAAGTAGGTTAGGCTGGTTGGCAACTTAGGCGAGTTTCTTCTAGTCTTGCCTGACAGTCTTAAGACACAATTGTCAGAAATATCAAACATCAAGAAGAGTGGCCTCCCTGCCATCCCCCTTTGCACAAACCAACACGTCTTGATGATGAGTAGCACAACACATTCCTCTTAGAAATGGAGTTATAGCTAATACACAGAAACTGTGTTACTCGAGGTCATCCTTAGGATGCTCGGCCAGTTTTAAATAAAACAGCCCGCCCAACAAACTGGCATTGGTATTTTATAAACTCAACTCCAGACTCTGTTTGGATCCCATCTATTTTTCTTTAATAGTCTTTCTGCCCCAGGATCTAGTCCATGGTGTCATGTTGCTCTGAGTTGTCCCTTTTCATCAGGTCTGTGACAGTTTCTCCAGATTTCTTTAATCTCTTTGGATTGTACAGAGCCTGTGTCAATCAAAATATCTCCAGACCTGAATTTGCCCCATAGTAGGACCTGTATCACAAGCAGACTTCTGGAAACAATGTCCCTGGGGTGAAGTGCCCTTGTCATACCATATCAGGCTATATGCAACCATTAAAACTTATATCTCTAGTTAGCAGAGGCTAGGTGTGATAAAGATTGCAGATTTACCCAGCCTGAGATGGTAAGTCAGCATAAGAACTGTGGTGGTGGTCGTGGTGGGGGGTAGTAAATGCCTGTAGAGCCCAGAGGTTGATGTCAAGTTTCTTTCTCAACCTTTCTTCGCATTACTTTTCCAGATAGGGTCTCTCATTGAATCTGGGGCTCACCAATTTGGCAGGATTGGCTGGCTAGCAAGTCAAGGGAGCCTCCTGTTTCTACCTCCCTTGTGCTGGGATTACAGTCACAAGCCACTGCATCAGGCTTTTGACATGGATGCATGGGCTCAAAACTCAGGTCTCTGTGCTTGTTTGACAAGCACTTTACTCAACTGAGCCATCTTCCCAGGCCTGAACTTTCCTAATCTGGACAAGTTTCCCACATTAATATAAGATGTTAGCAATGGGGAAACTGACTGACCTTTATTATCTTTACAACTTTTCTGTACATGCAAACATATTTCAAAATTTTTAAAGTCTTCAACCTTGTCTACATAGTGAGTTTGAAGCCAGCATGAACTACACAAGACCCTGTCTCAAAAATAATAAAGACATAAGTAAATAGATAAATAAACAGGTCTACATAGTGAGTTCCAGGACAGCTGGGGCTACAGGGAGACCCTGTCTCAAAAAGACAAAAAAAAAAAGAATCACTGCATATGAATACTACCAGGGCACCATTTTCTAATGTCAGTATCTCATGCCACCCAGAAGTTTGTTATGCAATTATTTGAACTTGAGTCTCAGACATAAAGATGGCAAAGCTAACCAGACAACTGTAGTATGAAAGTTGAAATTATTGCTCTGGACTATACACCAAATACCTTCAACTAAACAGACAGGCATGAGATTGAGTCCTTCTACTTATGAAAAGTGGTGATAATTCCAGGCCATTGGTGTCAGAATCAAACGAACTATAAGACATGCAGTTGATGTCATAGAATTGGCGAATGGCTTTGTAAGAAAAGCCTGTGATCAGTGCCATGAAAAACCAATGACTTTAGACCAGAGTTGAAGAGCACTGGCTTTGGTTAAGCAAAGCCATTTAGCTTTCCTTCATTGCCATAAACCTGTAGAGACACCCAGTCCTAAGGCAGAACTCCCATTGTTCATCACTATTCTTTTATTTGGCCCTCTCTA